TCTCCAGGAGGCTTTAAAACCTAAGTAGATTTTGGATCTAGAGATGTAGTGTCACAATCGTCTCTTTCGGGGAAAGTGAGCATTGAGAGAATGAGAGATAAGATCACCCATTTAGACTGAGATAAAGATACTAAAGAAGGAAGTCTAGAGGGTCATCTCCATCTGAACAGTTCAATCTCTGTGTCCATTGATCAATATAATACTGTCCTACTATGTAATTTTTATTTTTCTAATTTGATGTTTAGTGTGTACGTGTGTGTGTGTGTGTGTGTATATATATATATGCCCACCTATATATGCACACATACATATATATAACTAAGAAACCTAGGTAGATTCCTGTAACAGGACTAATTCATGATAAAACTAATAGGTAGCATTTATATAGCACTCCACTGTTTACAAAGCCCTTTCATATAGCATAGGGGCTGAAAATTGTTTGAGGTCTTCATAAAAAAAATTTGAGGTATTCATAAAAAGTGTTGCACCTTTCAGCCTCCCTTCTGAAACATGAGATGCCAGTGTTTCATGTTAATTTTGTCCATGTCTTGCTAGCTTTACCATATGGAATTGTTTAATCCTCACAGCATTCCAGAGAAGCAGGCCCTGATCCCCACTTCACAAATGAGAAAATCAGGGAGACTGATTGATATGCCTGCAATTGGCACTAAATGATGAATTATGACAGACTTTCGTAACATATACGTAACGCTTATGTCAGCATTTAGCAGCCAAAAACAAACTTATCAGCTCAAATGGTTTCTGTGGGGGACTCTGGAATTGCCAACTGGATGGTTCTGGTTTTGGCTTTTTCAAGATTACGGTCAAGATGTTGGCCAGAGTTGCTGTCAGCTGAAGGCTTGACTAGGGCTGGTAAATGGATTGCTCATATGCCTGGCAAGTTGATGGGGGCTGCTGGCAGGCCTTTGTTCCTCATTGGCTGTTGACAGGAGGCCTCAGTTCCATGCCACATGGACCTCTCCATAGGGCTGCTTGAGTGTCCTCACAACATATTATCTGGCTTCCTCCAGAGGGAGTGATCCAAAAGAAAAGAAGATTGAAGCCATAGATTTTTGTCTTTGTTTTTCGAGATGGGGTCCTGCTTTGTTGTTCAGGTAGAGTGCTGTGGTGCAGTCATAGTTCCCAGTAACCTCAAACTCCTTGGCTCAAATGATCCTCCTGCCTCAGCCTCCCAACTAACTACGGAGGCGACAGATGTGTGCCACCAGGCCTGGCTAATCTTTTAAAAAAATTTTAGAGATGGTGGTCTCATTATGTTGCACTGGCTGGTCTCAAACTGCTGGTCTCAAGTGATCCTCCTGCCTCAGCCTCCCAAAGCACAGAGATTACAAGCTTAAGCCACCACACCCAAACTGGAAGCCACAATTTTCTTAAGGATCAACCTCAAAATCACACTCTGTTATTCCCACAAAATGCTTGATTACACAGTCAGTCTAAATCAGTGGGATTATACGGGACATGA